GCCGCGTTTCGCGTATGGACTAGGGCTGGGTATCCGGGATGGCTGCTGCATAAAACGACCGACTGCGAAGGGGCTAGGGGACTGTGGTCGGGAGGCAACCGGAATTCTGCTAGGGGTATGTGCTTTTAGAACTGGTGATGGAACTGGGGATCGGGTTGAGGCAAAGCTTGCAGGCTCGCGGTTCGAAATAGGGCCAGCGCTAGCTGTGGGACGATCACTGGCGGGGCTCGGTCGAGTGGGTGGGTGATGGTTGAAATTGGGCGCGTTGAGACGGCTCACGGGCTTGCTAATACGACGAACTAGTGACGGCGCTGTCGTTCGCTGGACCGGGCGGCGTGACGATGCTCGGGATGCTAGAGATGGCTGTCTGTTCACGTCAGCTGGCTCATCAATCATGACCCAGTTTTTCCGCAGTTCATCAGTGGGTGTCCCGTATGAGATTTGCCTCCGCTTTGGCGCTGGCGGCGGCGTTGACTCTGGAGTCTCGCGTTCGTAGTAGAACGGTGAATAATCGGACTCGGGAAGGGTTCTGTAGAGAGGGCTGGGCTCCCGTTCGCGTATCGCGGCGTTGAAGTTATATCCGTCATGTCTAGCTTGATGATCTATTGGTTGTTGTCTCATCGACTCAGACATTCCATATCCTGTACCCCCTCCGGCGTGGAAACCACGAAACGCGCCGGTCTTGCAGAATTCCCATACTCTACCGACGACACCGCCAATCGTACTAATCGCATAGGAGCTCCAACCCCCGGATGTTTGATTATCTGGGTCGATTATTATAGGCCTCGATGCCGGTGAGTCGACGTCGTCGCGCGAGCGTTTAGATCCAAGGGCGCGCCTGTAGTCGACATCAGAATAGACACTGTCTTCAATATGACCAAACTCTTTTTGAACGGCCCCATTTGGGGTTTCCATCTGGCCAGCCAGTATATATCGTCTCTCATGTCCGTTCGCGGTTAGATCAAAGTTGGAGCGATCGTCGATAATGTTATCCGGATTGGAATTTCCATCATCCGTCATTGCCCAGTCATTCATGGGTGTGGAATCCCTCGCTCCTATGCGTTTCCTTTTAGTCTTGGAGACGGGGGTCGGTACATCTGATTGTAAACTGGCAGTAGACTTTCCGAGATACATTGAACTCGATACGGAGGGTGACGCCGGAGGTCGAAAGATGCCGGGATGCACACCCGAAAAGGGAGTGCCCCTACCCCCACCACCGTTTGGTAGGTCGAAGTGAAAGGTTCCAGACATGAGGATCTGAGAATTGTATGACATTTCAAATATGGTGATTAAATGGATACGTTATCGAGTCTGTTGGCATGGGAGATGGGGGATGAGGGATAGGCACGAGACACCAAGCTGACAGAAAAGGCCAAAGTGGTGGCGTCGCCCTGCAGGATTGGATCAGTAGCGCGGCAGCCGAAGCTCGCGAATACGTGCGCAAACCAAAAAGGTAAACACCTCAGATAATCGCTCGTTTGATCGATGAACAAATGCGACCGTGTGAGCTACCGTTGGTCTTGTTGTCGCCGTCGTCGCCGCTCTTGGTTGCTGGTGAGGATACTCGAGGGTAGGGAAGGATGGAAGCTAGGACTGCGCGTGATATGGTTATTTACGGCCGCTTTGAATGCATCTAGTAACGTATTAGCCACCCTTTTGGACCAGCCACCCTTTTCCCATACAACATTGCGATTTTTAACCAACTACAACTCCGCCGCAACACGAAATAGAAAATCTATTTTTCGATACGATATATATAACGATACGGCGATACCGAATATAAAATTCAAAAAAATTAAACCTTTAGCGTAAAAAAGGAAAAAATTATTATGCTTATAAACCATTTAAATTTAAGTGGCTTATAAACATAATAATTTTTTTCTTTTTTGCGCCGCGTAATTCGCTCCTTTAATTTCGATATTTGGTATCGCTATATCGTCGTATATATTGTGTCGAAAAATGGATTTTTTATTTCGTGTTGCGGCGGAGTTGTAGTTGGTTAAAAATCGCAATGTTGTATGGGAAAAGGGCTGGCCCAAAAGGGTGGCTGGTCCAAAAGGGTGGCTAATACGTTATCACTAGCCGACGCGACCGGTTTATTCCACTCAGCCCGGCACGCAACCCGTGTTGGACCGCCAGTCGTTTTAATCGACGTACTAACTTGGATAAAATAAAAAAAATCGGCGTAGATGGCGGCCTACTCGTGTGAATAGAGGACACGCCGGGGAATATGTGGCTAGTGTAGGATGACCGAGATCAAATAGTAGTAATGTTTGTGCTCAGGTTTCAACCCCTTGTAAACAGAAGACACATGACCTCAGGTTGGCGAGGTTGGAGCTTGAACAGGGCTAATGCGAGTAGCCGGTGTGACGTAGAGAAGAATACCGTTAGAAAACTCTATTTGGCGGCGACGAGTTGGCGCGAGTTGTCGACTCTGCACACATGTAGGTCACGCCACAACGAATGTGACGGGCGCAGTTACACGAAAACAGGTTCGGGTTCGGGTTCAGGGAGTTGAACGAAGAGCTGAATGCGCCGCTCGATCGAGGGAAAAGGAGCTTGAATTGTTGATATCGCGTTGCTGGGTCAGCCTGCACTTAATCAAACACTCACTACCGGGTCTAGTGTACGGGTCTAGTGTACAGGGCTAGTGTACAAGGTCGTGTACTGTAGTGAGTAGCCTAGAACCGGACTGGCGCGAGACTAGGCAGAACTAGGGTCGCTGACGGTGCATCGCTGATAGTGCTGATAAGGATCATCCTGCTGATGCTGCGGGGCATCGCGGGGCAGTGATACTAGGTAATATACTAGGTACACTACACTATAAGTTATCCGTACTGCATCTGTATTACATAGTACCAACGCGACGGGAAAATGGTGCCTCTAGCCAATCACGAAGAACCAGCGAAGACACGTATTGTTTTCGGTATGCCCTTAATTAAGTAATTTCTTTGTTTGGGTGTAGGTCTATCTCTAAGTGGCCCATTACTTCCTCTAATGACGATGCCCTCGCTCCATCAACCCTTCCGTCCTGTGTCACAGTGAATGCATTAGGCAAACCCTGTCAAATGTTCTGCGCTCTCCCGGCGTACATCGGCCAAGTGATACAAGCAGGAGATCCCCTAGTAGTCTTAGTGATCTTGCTTGAACGCTCCTTTCTCTAGGGAGCCGAACCGTCGTCCTTGTTGTAGTAGGCAGCCTGCATCTCAACTTTCGTTGCCTTGAGGCCGCCGTCGACACCCGCCTCGCCGTGAATGTGTGCTTTGGTTCCCCAGAACTCGTCGCGCTCCTTAAGAACCTCCTCCGCCCACTTCTTCGTCTCTGGGAGAACTATTTTCGTGGCGACGTAGGCGAATTCACCAAGATCTAGAGCCTTGTTGGCACGCTTCTCGTACTCGACCATCTGTGTCAAGAGTTCCATCTTGTCGAGATCGTGAACGAAGTGACTGTCGAGCGTCTTCGAATCCTCGTATTCCTGCCAGATCTCTCGAATCTCCGCGCCCGCCAGTCCGCCATAGACCTTTCCGAGTAGGTTCTTGGATATGTAGTCCATCGTCTCGGCCTCGCGACGGCTCTTCTCCGGCTTCGCCACGCCGTCGACCGGGGTGATATCACCAACAATTGACTCCGCCATGTCATGGATTAGGCACATCTTCATGCACTTGAAAAGGTCGAGCTTCGGAGCCAGGCTTGGCGGACAGAGCATGGTCATGAGGGACATACGGTACATGTGGTCGGAGATCGATTCACCTCTGCGAGTTTTGCCGTCAGTTCACAAGCATCAGTGACCAAGCATCTTTGATACGGTACCTCTGTATACCGAAGCGGCGCCATCCCTCGCGTTTGGTTGTCTTGAGTCTTTCGAGGATGTGGAAATAGGGGACAGGCGACTCGGTACCCCCGGCGGGTGGTGTCGGAGTCATGGTAGCGAGTACCTTCTCCACTGACCATGGTTCGGTAATCGGAGGCGTCGTCACGATACCGGGGTCTAGGGGTTTATAAGTTAGAGTAAAATGTATGCATAGGGAGGAGGGAAGATATATGACTGACCGGCGAAGCCATTGCCATCGCTATTGCTAGCTCCCGAGGACATCGTGTCTCTTGTGGATTGTCGATACCTCTTACAGGGATTTGTGTAAGTCACTATGGCGTTTCCTTTCTGGTTGAGAGGAACGCGAGATTCAGAGGAGAAAGAATTCCTGGGTTCTCAAACGGAATGTATGTAGGAAGATAGAGGAGGGAAATTTTGGAAGAATCAGGACTCTAGATATATGTGAAGACCAAGGCGTAAGGCACTCTTTTGGCTGCGTTTGTTCCTGTGGGATTGAAGAAGAGGCGATGTCGGTCTCAGAGAGTAAGCGGATTTTCGTTTGTTCACAGCATCCACTAACATGCAGGAGAAGGCATGGAATTCACCGTGGTTTCTAGTTTCCTGGCCAAGATATGTGAAAGCCATCTGAATGTAAACTGTATCCTCCCATCCCCCATCCTCCCCACTGAAGGACCTGATTGCGTGGCGCTGCATCGACCGGGTACCCATCTAGCGCTGCATTGAATTACCACTGTTGTCATTGGGTGGTTCCGGCCAATTGCCCCGGTGCCGGCCTTCCTTACCATTGGGTATCCTTCCAGAAGCTTGGCACCCAACGTAGGTACGGTGATGTCAATAAGCAATAAGAAACGGTAGCAACCCGAACATTCCAATAATCAAGTCTACCTGGCTCTACCAATAGTAGAGACAAAGCGGGAAACCATGCTAGGCACACTACTGAGCACACTATTGGGCATATATATAGATGGGCGGTTCAGGTTTGAGATAGGTTCCTTAGTCCTATTATAGACGGATAGGGGTATGTTATTATAGTCTTGCTTGAGGTGGGAGGCTCCGCAGCTTGCTATATGAATCATGTGACTAGTCCATCTGGTACCCCCATCCGCCAAAAAGCTTCTTTTGGGTTATAGAAAATATTTCACTGCATAGATTTCAACCAACCAAGTAATCCGAATTGGTGTAGTGGCTAACATTTGACGCTCTCAAATTCATCTCTTCGATGAACAAAAGTACCGTCAAGCCCGGGGTTCGATTCCCCGATTCGGAGTTAACGTATATTTTTCCTCTTTCTATCTTTTTTACCTCCGAGCCTGTAATATTCAGTCCACCCCCCATTTCACAATTTCTTTTTACAGCAAGCATCTTGTATGTCAATCACCTGCATCTTTTTACGCCATCAGAGTTGCTGAAGATTCGCAAATAAGGAAAAAAAGAAAAGGATAAATAAAATCTGTCGTTTCGACCTACAATAAGAGGTTTGCTACCTTTTCTGTATATTTCGACACAAGTCATGTTACCTTGGCATCTAGCTACTAATAGTAGCAATTAGGCTCGATTGTTTTACACAGCCTACACCTTCAATCGTCAAGACAGTAATCTACAATAATGCGGCTGGTATTCAATCGTCTATAGTTCCTTTCCTTTCCATATTTTTACTGCTATGCGATGATAGCCGTAATTACGGGCCATCCTTTTTTGCAGTTCCTTTTCCCTTTATATCTTTATAGGTAGTGACACTCCTGATAACCTGTCAATACTACAGTCATCATAGTTCAGTACTTTATGCTCGTATTTTCCTTATCGTTGCTTTCCATAACTACTATTTTAATAATTCTAACACGAGTCTCTTGTTCTTCTCGATAGATCCCATGGTTTCACTGACGCGGATATACTCGTCGGTGCCATGGGCCACACGGATGGAACCAGGACCGTAGAGCACCTTTTTATGGTCGCCGCGCAATCTCGGTATATCCGTGCCGTACGCCATCGGCTCGGCCTCGAAACCTTCAAACTCCCACTGCAGCAGCATTTCGGTGTACTGAAACTTGAAGTCGACATCGACATCTGGGTGCTTGTCTATCGCTTCCCGCACCGCCTTCTTGATCCCTTCTATATCCTTCGAAACACGGATGCTGCAGAGCGCCTTGGCCTCGGCCGCGAGAATGTTATAGCCCGCCCCGCCCTCGATCTTCCCGATGTTCAGCGTCGACGGGCCCAGGAGGTCAGAGACCGGTAATTCGACCGCTCTGAGGTCGTTCAGCGCGTCAAAGAGAAGCAGCGTTGCGCTTTTTCCCAGGTGGGGATACCCGGAATGGCTTCGTCCGGACTGTTAATCTCGTTCTTAAAACTCTAGTAAGAAGTCCCATGGGCATGCTTACCAGGCCTTCCCGTGTGCCACGATTTCAAACACGAGATTTCCCTTGTGTCCTTTTGCCACCTTGCCTTCCGTAGGCTCGGCAAAGAGACCCGCTTCCCATGTGAGGCCCATGTCGTTCGCGGCGATCATTCCCGGGCCACCTTTTTCTTCTCCAACAACCCACAAGAAGCTCACGTCTCCCTCCTTGAGTTTTCCTTCGGCGCGCAACTCCTCCACCGCAAATATCTGCGCCACCATTGGCCCAAGATCGTCGCACTATGATATTCAAGGTCAGCTACCGTTATTTTGAGTGCAATATATAAGTTTTGCATGAGCGTAGGGAAGCTTTCAAGGCTTAGTTCGATTTTAGGGCGAAGTTTGGGAATCCCAGAGTCGCAAAAACCAAAGATGACGGCAGTGAATATCACTTACGGCGCCGCGCCCACGGATTACATCACCGCCGATGCTGAAGGGGATATGCGGCGGCACGGTGTCCATGTGCGCCGTCACGAGGAGCCGTGCTTTTCGTTCCTGGCCTAGATACGCATAGACATTATGCCGTGTAGAGCCCGGCGCAATGGGGATGCGCTCCGCTGTGAAGCCCCGGCTCTGTATGTACTTTTCCAAGTATTGTCCGATTTCGAGCTCCTTTCCGCTAGTGCTCTCGATGTTCATGAGCGTTTTCAGGAGCTCAACAACCTCCTGAGAGTCGGTTTTGGCCGCCATGGTGTCGCCCTTAACTAAACGACTGTTCTATTCTGATACCAACGTAATTTTCTTTGTGCTTCGACGCAGTAATCATCCAAGTGTATAATAACTTGATTATTGTTGGCAAAGCGTTGGAGAGGTTGTTTAGTCAGACATTTAGGCGGGGTTGGGCCTAAACCTCCGACTCCGCTCAGATTTAGTCGTCGTTGGGAGCAACCAGTGGTGAAAGGGACTTGCTTGAATTTCAAGTACGTTTAAAGATCTCTCGCTTACTCGAATTCTAGGTTATTTCCACGTCGTACCCTTCTGAGGTTTAACTATAATCCTAATTTCATTCAATCAAAACTTAATGACGTCATCATGGCCACAATCCTTTAGGTAGTTCATTAATATTAGATCGTCGTAGCTAAATCTAAGCAAGAAATGAAATAAATCAAGAAGACTTACTTTAGAGTAGTCGAGATATGTAAGCGCAAAAGGCTAATCATATATGTCAGATGTGAATGTCTAAGTTAAGGGCGTAGCGGTTCCTACCATATCCCCTAGGCAGACCGCACACGACGCCTTCCATCATTCAGGGACTCAAAGATGTGATAGTGATGTTATTGACTGCCTTATCCATTGTTCCGAAACCTTTATATACGAATGGGTGAAGTTGATAATCAGGATGCGGCAGGAGGGCGCATGTGTGGCCTTGACAGGGGCTTTAGGGGATTGCAAGCGCTGCTTCGGGTCTTGATCTGTGGACGTATGGTTATGATAGGCAGTAGTGTGAAAATTAACCACTATCGCCAAGAGTGCCTGCGTGAGGGCCATTTCAACTATTATTTCATCACTTAGCGCTTGTAATCCGATAATGCCTCCATTTACTTTGGCTAAAGGAGAATTGGCTGATCTATCATGATGCTAACATACAACCCATATACACCAAGTTGCTAAAGGGGTGTTTGGTTTTATAACCCTATTCAAGAATTTTTGAAGCAAATTGAAATTACTCGATTACCGTCCGTTGGTGTCTGCTGTGGCTGAATAGATAACAGTAAAGTTTCTCGATATATAAATTACGCTAGCTTTGAGTCTACTTTCATGGGGAATTGGCTAGAGTCTGGTTCAATGGAAATCATTCGCAGTTGAATTAAATTATCTAGTCGTACAATAGATATTCTTTATGGTGATATGTCCATAGATCGAGATGAGCCGTTAGTTGCCTGCAGCTTGTGTAATGTGAACTGAACTATGCAGGTGTCGTAATGGAATTAGGAATCGTGAAGGCTCAACGTATGTTAATGCAGGCTGGCTGCGAGTACTGCCCAAATCTGCCTGAATGGTACCAGTAACCATCTTTATGTATCCCCACGCACTTCCACTTCCTCGATCTCATTGAACTCAGCATCTTCATCGTCATCAGAGAGCACTTCGAAGCTTCCATCTTCGAATTTCTTGAGGTGGCCGAAGAGGGCAGCAATCTCCTCGGTGGATAGCTCCTTCCTCTCGTCAGGCCCCATTACCTTGTTGATCTCCCGCAGCTTCTTCTCCTGAAGGGCTTCGATTCGGTTATCGATGGTATTTTGAGCGATGATGCGGAGGAAATGTGTTTTCTTAGCCTGGCCGATTCGAAAGACTCTCGCAAACGCTTGCATCTCGATAGCAGTGTTCCACCATAGATCGACAAGAATGACTCGGTTTGCGCACGTTAAATTGAGAGCAACTGAGCCACACCTGAAAGAAGCAATCTAATAGTGGTTAGCATGCCTTGCAAGACTAGTCTATCGATGAACTTACCATGACCTTGACATGCTTTTTATCATGGAATGCTCGAACGGCATTTTGCTTCGCTACCTGGGACATATCTCCAAAGAGATAAAGAAACTTGATACCCTCAGCATTCAACACACGGCCGAGGATCGCGCCAGTCATTTTGAAATCCATAAACACGATAATCTTGTCGTCAGGTGCCTCAGACTGCCACTTGAGGATAGCTTGTGTGACAGCGATCGTCTTCGCGCTTGGTACTACTGGTTTAGGATAGTCCTTGTCGCATTGTTGAAGGAATCTAGACTGGGAATTCGTCAGTCGTGGATGTTGCTCGAAGATATCCCGACCTTGTTTGGGGGCCAAGACTTTGTAACGCTGTGATTTTAGCTCTCTCGGATCGTCCTTGTTATCCGAATGCTTCGTATCAGGTTGTTTATATTCATTAAGGTCAGCCAAGGATGTGTCACATTCAGGACACTTGGGTATTACGCGTCGTTGGAATTCATCGAATATGTGGTTGTTGAGACACCTCTTGCAGAAAACGTGCTCGCACTATATGAGACTAATATTAGTCAAAACTTTTGAGATCCTATTATGGCCTTCGACTCACCTTGGCTTTGCGGGCGCGGTGGGGCTCTTCGTAGCAGATCCGACAAACATCTTCCTCCTGTGATGCTAGAGCAATATTAATCTGTTCATCCATGTTGAATTCATGCCCGAATTGGCTGCTTCCGGAGACGTTTTGCAGATTTTGGGCCTGTTCAGTGGGATCATCGACAGTCGTGCCTTCGGCGCACCACTCCCCAACTTGTTTAAACGCGGGGCTTTTGCCACCTACCTCCCGAAGTCGCCTTTGGATTTCGTGAAGGTCACCCTGGTTCAGTGTCTTCTTCAGCACAGGTTCTAGTAGAAAAGGGTGGGCCACACCTTGGCGAAGCCGTATCAAAAATCTCAGGTGGATTGTGAGATCTTTTGGACGTGCAGCCCGATTTGCTTTACGGCGCCTCTTCAATATCGCGTTAATAATCTTGCGAAAATGGGACTCAACCACACTTTTTACGTTAGCTTCAAGGCCATTATGCTAGGAAACCAAGCAACCTACCTGTATATCACCCGCTCTTCTTGAGTAAGGCTAACCCGCCTCACAGTGATTTCGCAGGTGGGAATATCATAAAGCGGTCGGTCCATGAAAGTATCCGCCATGGTCCTATTCTACTGTTAAAAGCCGAGAAAGATTAGCAATATAGATATGATTACCTTCTCAACATAATTGTGTCCATGATTACACTGAGTCGATTCACCGATTCGTCCTATTCTCAGTTAGCCTGCGTCGGCGTATTAGACAAATAATAGTTGCTTGCGTCTCCAGGGTTTCCGTAAAGATACTGAAAATCACGTAGGTTCCCCACCCAATCAGTCTTAAGAAACTTGAGGTATGGATAGATTTC